AATTCCTTTGTGGGAAATGTTTTGTTTCTCTATTCTTGTCCTCAATTTTCATATGTTAGCAAGCGTCTTAAAATGTATAAAGCATGCTACAGACGTGCAATTTTAAATTATTATTTTTGATGAAAAGACGCTAAATACTCCACTACGCAACAATATCCTCATCTAATACAGGTTTTTAAAACGAATGACTGTAAATGAATAAACTTTCTTTAAATATCTTAGTAAAGTATAAAATCTGATTAAAAACTCAACGCTTGTTTCTGTTTTACCCTATTTAGTTCAATTTTGAGTGTTTTTATTTAATATGTAAGTTTCACTCACAAGGGCACAAGGGATTTATAGTTGCAAATCTTGATTGATATCTCGTACGAGATCCCATCAATTTTCCAAAAGCCCGATTTACACTTAAATGGACCCAAGTAGATAACGTTCGTAAGTTTTATACCATAAATTTCCTAACTCTAAATACTTAAAAAGTTTATATCAAGATTATATTCCAAAGTTTCTCAGCAAAAAAATATACATATAAATAATACATAAATATGCTGGGACATTTCACACAGCACCATCTAGTTCCATGGTAAGCTACGAGGCTTGTGTTATGGATACCAGATAGTTGATACACTACACATAAATAACTTTAAATACATACATATTATAAATATAAACACCCATGACTGGAGTACAAACATTCGTGCTACACAAATGAACCCAGCGGGACTCGAACCCGCGACCGCTGGCACAGCAAGTAGGATCACTACAAACTGAGCCAAACGTGTCGTCAAATAAAGTACTAGCAACTTACCCTCGCTTTAATCGGCGGTAATATAGCTTCCTGTTAGTGAAAGAATTTTCAGAATCGAATTAGTAGTTTTAGAGATTACCCTCTACATACAAACTTTTCTTCTTTTATAATATAAAATGACAGAAACAAAGACTTTTGATTTTTATCTAGTTCTATTTTGTACATGTTGTGAAAATATATTTTACATTTGTTACTAATATTTTTCATTTCTTTGTTACTATCACTTTTTATTATGTATGCATTCAGCCCTTTTTAACGTCACGCGCCTCCCTTCAATGTGAGGGGGATGAGGCCATAGTCCACCACGCTGGCCAAGTGCGCGTTGGTGGACTTCACATTTCTTTTGAAAACTTGTTAGGTTCTCTCAGACATGCAGGTTTCCTCACGATGTTTTCCTTCACCGTTAAGACAAGTGGTAATCATGTTGGAAATGATTCGCACATGAAAATATCAGAGGTGCGAGACCCGAAATTTGAACTCACTTCACTCGGTTTCCCAAGCGAGCGCGTTACCACTGGGCCACCACTGCCTTTTGTTTTATTATTAAGAAATTTATTATTTTTGAATCGTAGTCTAAATAAGTTACGGTATAATAAATGCTACTATTAGTTTACACAAATAGTAATAAAATGATAAATAAACATACCTAATACAAAATACAGTACAAAAGCTAACTTTAGAGATTTTAAGCATGCTAAGTCATGTCAAACTTGTATTAACCTATGGTTAATCCTTTAAAAACCTAACATAAAATATAATGATCCTAATAGCGATAAACAAAATTAAAAAAAAAGTTTTTTTTAATTCAAGAAAGTTACAAACATCTTGTATATTCTTACTCTTACAAGTTTTGCTTACAATATATAAATGTGTAATTATATTAAAGGCGTCAAAATACTGAGATTTGATTTGATTTTCAAGAGCAATCTAAACACAAATTCCTTACATAGACATCTTCAAAGGATCAGAGGACACTTATCAACTGTTAACTGTTACTGTTTGTTACTTATTTTTTGAATAGCGGAGACTTCATTCGATTACTTACTATTCAAAATTCAAATAAACCTAACTCATATTTATGGACCAACCTACAAATAATGATAGAAAATACAAAAGATATATATATTTTTTACAGATGTTATTGTTATATTGTAAATAGTGTATTCACAAAAGGTTTTCAGTAATTTAAAAATGACCCTGTATATTTTAAAATAAATTATGTACCTATACATAGGTAGCAAAATAAAACTAAAGAGGTACTAAAAATGCCAAAAATAAACTAAGAAAATAGAAATCAAAAGGCGCTACTCCCACTTTCCCTTTGATAACTTTTAAATAATTCCAATACAAACTTAACTACACCAAACAAATATGTTATATTATGTTTTATAGAATCTAAAACTTAGAACCTTACTGACATATAAATCGGTCTCGTGGGCCAAGGATATGACAGACTTTCGAAATGACGCCGGGACTATTATTGAAAATGATTTATCTACGATGAGTATTTTCTCAAAGGTATTTTGTATTACGCTGTATTGAGTTAAAAAAAATCTATTATATGAAACCAGCTGTAATCCCGCTGGGTACACACGATGACAGTTCCTAGAGAAATCTCATTCGTTTTCCACTTTCCGACGCGTTCCATTTTGACCGAAACAAACATTTCCCATGTGTAATGATTACATCCGTCAGCTATTTTATACGCAAGTGTATCTACAGCTTTAAATAATCCACTAGCGATTCTAGATAATCGCGCAAGTCACGATTTAAGTTTTATTTCATCGGCTTATATTACAAAATTTATCTGCACGAAAATCCATTTTACTTAACGGAAAAAATTACAGTGAATACCATCCTAAAGATTTATTCTAAAACTGGTGAAATTATTTTTAAAATTAAAAGAACACATAAACTTACATACTACCTCCTTACCATAGATAAACTAAGATGCACTATTGTGCATTATAAGTATCTAAACTGAAGCAATCAGGAAACAGTCATTGTTCTACGTAACAGATGGTTTTACCTGTAATTAAAGTTTGTGGATAAGATAATATCGGCTGTGATTGCCGGGAACTACTTAATTACGGAACGTTCCCGGGGGAGGTGATCGGGACTTGAGAGTGGCTTCAAAGATTTACTGCTCTTGACCCCACTTGATCAAGTCTCTAATACCGATACTTATAGTAGCATGTAATTACTGACGCTTATAAATTAAGAAATCCGTAATTAAGGATTCAAAACAAACTTTATTAGCAACTTAGTTTCAAAATACTCGAAAATTTTATAAGGTATTTAGTACTTGCTTCTTATCATTAAAGCAGTTTTATTTATTAATAGATCATAGAAAATCTTTTTTTACGAAATTATGAAAATCTACTAATCAAACTTAAATCACAATCGGTAGAATGGTTTTAGAATTCATACTCAACAAACAAATGGATAAAGGAACAACAAACAAGGGTATTATTTTTTTATCGAATATTTGTATTACCCGCCATTCCGCTCGATGGTAAATAATGTTATGTAGGTACTCGTATATCGCTAAAAAGCCAACTTTCAATAAAATATCTACTCCATTTCTTTAAACTTAAATTTGCAGTGTCATTACAGCATGAGAAAATAAAAAATACAATAAACCACCAATATTCTTAATTTGACAAAGAAAAATACTAAGTACTTATATACTCGTGTAAATAATCCAAGTACAAAGATTTTTTTTTTGATAAGCTTTGCTAACTTTAAATTCTCTTAAGATTTGAACTTCAGAAATTCTTTCTAAGTGGCAATCAATGTGTATTTTATCTGTTATACTTAACAAAAATATTTTTTACGTACCTAATAAACCTAATATTTGCTAAATGATTTGACTACGAAAATATTTATGCCACAAGATAACAAAGTCAAAGAAGGAAGTCAAACCACGCAATATTCTAATTAAGCAAATTTGGAAAGAGGAAAACGCAAATTCATTTCAAGGGACTTTTCAAAATGTTTATTGTTAACGAGGTTTGCGCATCCATGGTGTACCAGTAATCAACAAGTAACAGCCCAAGCCTATAAAAGGAAATGTTCTGGAAACACAAAGACTGGAATATTTAGGTCCTATAAATTATAAAGTTCTAGTAGAAACAGCAAGTTACTACATATTTTTATATACGTACTTAGTATATTTTTACTCATTTTCACATACTTTCCTATACTGTAGTATACCTTGACGTCACGTATGGGTCAGTTTTATTCAGGGGCATTCATTTATGTGATGAGCACGAATGTTTGTATTCCAGTCATGGTTTAATATTTATACTTATAATATGTATGTATTTAAAGTTATATATGCGTAGTGTATCAACTATCTGGTATACATAACACAAGCCTCGTTCCTTACCATGGAACTAGATGGCGCTGTGTGTTAATGTCCCAACAAATTTATTTATTTTATTTATTTTCACGATATGGAGAATTCCTGTATTGAGGAACCTTGTTTCTGAGATGGTCTTCCGTAATATCTCGTTTTGCCCAATTGATGGCAAAACATGATATTGGAAAATTATTAATTGTTAACTTCCTATTTAAAGTAAAATAATAAAAAAAATATTATTTATTTTCATAGGAAAAGTTCAAAAATAAATAAAATAGAATATTACAGGGACGTATGATAATCAATAATACTATAAAAATAGTTCAATGTGGTCTTCAGAGACCGTGAGAGCTCCATATTTTTTACGAAGTTCTATAATTTATTCAATATCTCTTAAATATATGTAAATTAAAACTTAAAAAATATATTGTTGTATTTTTTACAAGCCTTTATGAAATAAAATATCACATCATGAACTTAACAACAATTTAATTTCTAATTCAGTCATCCATTCTATTGTGGCAACACGTAACTTTATACTTTATACATACTCGTATATGTACCAAAAACTTTTTCCACGCAGTAGATTCAGAAAAAATAAGGTATCACAAACGGAGAGATATATATGAGTAATGTTATAAATATTCCATTTGATGTACAGAACACAAAAAATAAATTATGCTCTCTACAAACAATACAAATGTTTTACCATTTTGTACAGGTTTTTTAATATGTTTACTATCTAGCATACAAGTTACATCTTGTAAAGTAAATAAATTATTCATCACTAATATAAATACTTCACGATCTCTAACATTCTGATGTATGCTATGGTTTACATAGACTTGGATTGGGACCTCCAAATAAAGCTTGTTGGATACCAAAACCTGGTGGTGGTGGATCTTCCAATAACGTTGTCTGACCAGTTATAGGTTCACATGCAAATCTACCCGATCTGTAATAAAAACTTAACTTTATAAGGAATTGCTACTACCTTTCACATGTCTTAGAAAAGATTTCAATTTCTTTCCTATCTTGGTATATTCTTACAATATTCAATTTTTTTATTATATGTATATTGTCAAATATTTTGTATTCCAGTAAATTTTAAGCCAATTCTCTGTGACTCTGTAAGTCAAAGCAAAATATCTTCGAATCTAATTTAAATATTACGTATAAAGAACAATAAAAATGATATAAAATAATATTTTACTAACTGAGGTCCCCACGGTGGTATCCCTCCACACTTCAGAGTTTGAATAATATTATGAACATCACAAACAGTTACGTCTTCCTGTGAAAAATAGAATTTCTTGGGATTGATGTAGGTATTCCAGATAGATTCAACATTACCAAACAATCATAAATATTAAACGTGTCGTAAAGGTTCCTTCGTTCTTATTTCCAAGGACTAAATTAAGAAGTTTTTATTTAGAATTTCGATTGTAATATTTATTAAACGTAACAAAATATTATATATATATATATATATATATATATATATATATATATATATATATATATATATATATATATATATATATATATATATATATATATATATATATATATATATATATATATATGAAACTTACATAATAATCATCATCGACCACAATAACCGGGGCGTTAACACAAGCACCTTGACATTGAACTTTGTCAACACCAAAAATAAAGTCTGGAGAAACACCACCGGCGCAACAACACGTAATCTCTTCAACCACTTGCAGAATATCATCGGCACCACGCAACATACACGGCGTGGTAACGCAAACTTTCACGTTAAATTTTCCTCTGTACCTCCTTCGAAATAAATGATTTAAATATTGGCTTTATTTGTAAAAATTAATTTAAAACATCCGTTGACACCATACACAAAGAGATAAAATTAAAACAAAGGTATAATACGTGGTTTTTGTTATTTCATCGTAAACACAAAGTTTTTAGGAAATTTGATCATAAGAATATTATCTTTCATATAAAATTTTCCCCCCTTAGGGATTGAATTTCAAAAATTCTCTTCTTAACAGTAATGAATGCCATTATAAGATTACGCTGTCACAAAATTTGAGGTGAAGGAAATTGCGGCGTTGATAAATCAGTCAGTCAATCGGGTCGTGTAACTTTATATGTATACTAGCTATACCGACTTTATTCGCGTGGAGTGACATTTGACAATGATAAATTATAAAAAAATGGTAGGAAAACAAAAAAAATAATGTTATGAAATAAAAGGTATTGTAAAAACAGACTTTTGGTAAGACATTTTTCCACCAAATCTCTTAGGTTAACGGGATTATGGTAATCAAATAATAAATGAGACTAAATCTCAAAGTAACGATTGATGAAAATCGAATGATGATACTTGAAAAACAATGTAATAGTTTCTGCTATGTAACCGGATTTTCTTACGAGTTTACTCTCCTTTGTAACAGGAGTTCTTCTTTTATGTGATGACAACTATCCTAAATGCTAATCCGAGTATCAAATAACATTCTGAAGAAATCCCATTTAAATCCATCCAGCCGATTTTACGTATCTGTGTGCTAACAGACGACAGTTATTCGAACATAACGATAACAATATTTACATAGTAGCTCCAAATGTTGTTTTGATTAATATCTTAATATTTATCTGTCTCAAATTATTACATGTAATCTCTGAACAGTTATCCATCCGAAAATTAAAATCTCATCAAAATTGGTTCTTCTATTTCGGAGATTATCGTAAGTCAACAAACACATAGACAAAAAAATCAGGTTTTAGAAGCTTATGAATAATTATATTATGAGCTTAAAAAAGTTTGAACAAGGTGTAAATTAAAAAATTAGTAATGAGTTGATCATAAACAAATCGAAGGCAATTTTGCAAAATATAAGAATAATTTTTCATTTTAACCACCTCTTATTCATAGTATAGAATGTAGCCCACTCGTATACTCTCATCCTGGGTACACTAAGAACTTCAGCCACTTTGTGCATAGCCGATATAGGGATCCATCCGATCTGCCTTTGTACTATGTCCATCGCAGCGCCTAATGCCGACCGTTGAGCTCCCTCGGGATAATTCTGAATTATTGCTGACAATCTCTAGAATACAATATACCATATATATACTCGTACCTCTCGAGAATGCAATATACCATATCGATATTTTCATGAAAATATGACATAATATTTGAAAAATATTTGACTCTGCTTAAAATCAAGTTCAGTACATTTTAATATTTAATTTGTAAATAAATTCCTGTCTTATCGATATCTTTAGCTATGATCACTTAGATTCAAATGTGATATTAGATAACTTAGATCAACACGGTGCAAGATTTTTTTTAAATTACTTTTTATTTCATACTTTTTAGTTTCAAGTAAAAACCTTAGCATTAATATTTTACATAGTATTGTATTTGAAGAGTTCCCGTGGGATAGTTAAAAAACTATAGTAACTTATACAGCTTAGTACACAACAACTTATGCACTGCAATTTGGTAAAATGCCTTTTATTGCCAGTCAAACAACAGGTTACTTTTTATCCCGGAAAAATGAACGGGATAGATCTCATTGTTTTTCTAGATTATGAATAAAAGAAAAAAAACTATAAAACACAGCTACTTAATTCACCTTTAAATTTGCTTCTGAGAAGTCAAATGGTGTGAGGGCATGATTATCTTTACTGTCACGATGTACGTTTAAATCTTCGCTATACAAACGCTTAGAGATTATTGCATTTCTTTGCAATATACGGACCTACAAATAAAATTAATATGAAATAATAACATTTATCAGTTCTACTTTGCGATTCATTTGATAAATATATTTACGGTATTCAGAATCCTAGATATCGACATGTTGTTAGTTTATTTTCCAAACGACGTATAAGTTTAACATAATTATGAAAAGCTATTAGAATTTAAACAAAGAGGTTTTATATTATTTTTAATAAATTAAAAAAGAAGAATAGGTTTTATATAACATATTTTTTATAAATGACATTTCAAACATATAAACCTAACCTTACGCTTATATAATAATTTAACTTTAAATGTAATAATGATTTTAGATATGAGAATGTTTTGCTGTTTCCGAAAAACACTTTTCTATTCCTTCATAATTTATAGTTTAACCACAACATTTGAACATCTGTATATTAAACAAGGGTTCGCCTATAAAACGACAGAAATCTATTTTTTGTATTTGGGATTTAGTACCGTTTCTATTGAATAAAATTGGCTTTGTGCTTCGAACAGCTTTTATTCTTGCGTTTTATTATGTTTTGCTTAGAATAAAATATTATATTTTATCAAAAATGCTTAAAACTCAGCAATTTTGCAGAGATTTACAGTGATCAATAAAATGTAGTGTTAAAAAAATTAAATTAATTTATAAGTGAAACTTATTTTATATTAGAGAACATTGCTTCATTCGGGCGCGTGACAATATAACTCTTAATTCTTTCTTAGATTTACGCGAATGTTGGAATTTTGTTTATTTAAAAATATAACTCTTTACAACAAACCAGTTGTAGAGAATTGCCAGAAATATCAAACATATCCCACGGTAAGCTAAGTCTTCAGTCTACCAAACCTTCCTTTTAAAAAAAATGATAAAAGATATACCATAAATATGTATAGAAAGTGGACTGCTACTTGCATTTTTTTAATTAACACATTATACCTACCATATAGATATAATTATTAAAAAGCTCTCAAATAATGCGATCGTGCCAACTTGTTACAAAGTAATAGTGTAAAATAGAAATATAAGCAAAGTATACAACAGTATATAACAGGCAACATATACAACCGTTTAATAAGACTTTAGGTCAGCGGGTTGAAATGATAAACATCGTTTACGATCTTGAAATTGCTTTAGCTATCTTCTGCCTTCAGAGAGATTCTAAGGTCAATAACGTTCCCAAGATATTCGCCTGGAGCGATTTTATGGGAATGAGCGTAGATATTGCACCCAGAATATTAGTGCCTACTACTTGATCCGCCAAAGTGCCATCTTTTACCATCTTTTTCCAATATCCGTGAACGCCAACAGTAACGATTTTTACATAAAAGTCCACTTCTGAAAAGAAATGTGCTACTTACAATTGTTTTCTTGAACTGTTGGACAAATAAAAATCGGACTATTATTATAAATGCCAAAGTATGTATGTATGTTTGTGTTTTACTACTTAACATTGAGACACCGTGAATTCGGATAAGATTTAGTACACAGATAGATTATGACCTAAAGTAATATACCTACATGCTACTGTTACGCACTAAGCACGTGAAGTGAGTTAATATACTAATTAAATAGGTAATTTGAATTTTGATGAATAACTTTTATATACATGTCTAAATTTTACCGTCAACACCCATTTTCACACAAATAATAAAATAATATCAACACACGAAAATATACGAATAGATAATATGTGATGATAAATGAAACTAAATTACACCAGAAAAATACAGCAGCATGTTACATTGTAAATGTGAAACTGCCGGCCTAATATTGTTTAACGTAATGTAAACATGCTCAACATTTATAAACGTGGGACAACGATGACCCCAAGGTACAGGTTACCCCAGTTACCCAAGGGATTTAGGGTTTATTTAGGTATAAATTATATAATTACTAGTGTTCGCCCAGTGGTCGAAATACAAGCATAATTATAATTAAACATTTGAAGAAAACATACGTGAATAAAATTTACCTATCTGTATAAACAAACTTAAAACTTTTTATTAATAACACTAGCATTGCCCGCGGCTCCGCTCGCGTTTAGATGACCAAAAACCTAATTCTTAGGTTTTACATAGTATACTCTTACAATGCAGTTTTTGTATTTTTCTCAGAAATAAGATATTTTCCCGCGGTAAAAAGTATCATAAATGTTGACCCGGATAACCAGCTATCACCATACCAAATTTAATCAAATTCCCTCCAGTGGTTTTTCTGTGATGCGGTAACAGACAGACAGACAAAAATTCTAAAAACTATGGATTCGGCATCTGTATCGATAATAATGTTTATTTCAATAAGATTTTCCAAAAAATATTTAATGTACAGATTCGGCTTAGTTACAATTTTATTATATGTATAGATTTAAGCTTGTCTATTGACATTGACAGGCTAGCTATTGCTAGTAAACAAAAAAAAATCGGTTGACAAACAGAGGACGAAAAGGTACAGAACTGTTTGGTTTTTGTCTATTTTTATATAGATTTTGTAGTATTTTTTTTTCTTTAAATGTTATAATAATTAAGTAATTTCATTACTCCCAATACACTTATATGAGGTCTTTCTGTATTGCTCATTTCCTTAATGAAAATAAGACGTGACTTGTTTTGTGATTTCTTTGAATGTTTAATATCGCTACTAAAAAGTGTTGTAGGAATGTAAACGTTGTTTTGCTCTTTTATACGAGATGTTGCATTTGTAATGCAATAATTGCACTCATCCGGCGCTAAAGAGATTAAGATATAAAAACTTAAAAAAAAAATAGAAACCGACTTCCAGGCACTAAAATGTAAAAAATAACTAAACGGAGGTTTTCATTTAGAATAGATACCTAATCAGATATTTTCGAATATAAATAATATAAATATATGGGACCACCTGGAAAGTATACGCTTTGAAACAAAAAAAAATTTCCAAATAGGTTCAGGCGTCTTCGAGTAATCGGTGAACATACATAAAAAAAAGATTCCGACGAATTGAGAACCTCCTCCTTTTTTCGGGAAGTCGGTTAAAAATAAAGTAAAATTTAACTGCTGAAGATGTACGCTATAATATATGAAATATTATAAAAATAAAGAAATAAGTGTCTATTGTGTTAATTTAAGTTTTTTAACCGACTTCCAAATCGAAATATATTAGATTTACTTTGCATCGGCTGGCAGCGACTTCGAAAATATCTGATTAGATATCTATTCTAACACCTCCAGGTAAATTTCTAAGAAATCTATTGTTAATTGTAACGCCGGCGTGTCCGCAGTCGTGGAGGAACTAAATGAAAACCCCCGTTTAGTTATTTTTTAAATGTTAGTGCCTGGAAGTCAGTTTTTTTGTTAATTATTAGTGAATTAGTATTTAAGATTTATTTAAACGTATACATATATTTACTCAATAATTGGTTTCAACAATACGGCATTTGAACTAAGAATTTATTTAAGAAACAGAAAACCTAGCTGCATAATGGTATTTTAAGCAAAAAATCTAAGAAAAAGAGGCTCGAAAGGATTCGTTCTCTTTGTTTTATGAGATAATTAAGACACGAATGGACGACGCTAAACTTGCAAGAGTATTTTTTGTTCTGTAACAGAAAAGAAAACATTTAAATAGAGAATTGAAAATCCTTAACGACCCATGTTAATTTTACCAAAAAGAAAATTTTCACCTCCCAGTCATTAGCAAGTAAAATATGCTATGAAATACAATCTGAATTTTAAATTGAGACCACAATTTAAAAGAATCCAATGTTAAAGAATGTTTAGCTATTGCAAGAAAAAAAACTTAAACATTTTAACAGTGCACTCGTCTGCCTCTTTTAAAGTTAAAACTTTTCCATTTAAACTTGGGAACTCTCAGTCTATACCAAACTACATACTTAAAAACAAGCAACAATTCAATAGCCGACATGACTTATCGAAAGAAATAAGCTCATTTGTACGGTTCCGTAGATGTAAAAATTCGTAAACCTTCTTACGTGTACTAAATATGATGAATCCATTTTAATATATAATAAAAACTTTTTAACAAAAAAATAAAAACCGACTTCAAACAAAAGCACTAAAAAGTGAAAAATAACTGATTGGTAGTTTTCATTTACTATACATACCTAATCAAATATTTTCGAAGTCGGTGTGCTTTGCTTTGTATGGGCTGGCACCGATTTCGAAAATATTTGATTAGGTATGTATTTAATAGGTAGGCTTTAATTATATATTATATCAATAAATTCATCATTTAAACTAATATTATAAAGAAGTAAAGTTTGTAAGTTTGTGACGTTGTAGGGGGTAATCTCTGGATCTACAGAACCGATTTAGATGAAATTTGGTAAAAGGATAGTTTGAGTCCCTGGAAAGGACATTGGATACTTTTTATCCTGGAAATCATCCCTTAAGGGGGATGAAATAAAATGGGTATGAAAGTTTGTTTAAGTTAGCAATTTTTCCTTAATCTTTTCACATACATACACATGTCATAAGTGAAGATATATTATATGTAGATACAAAGCATACTAATATCTATATGTATGTATATAATATAACACTTAAATAGTACTTATAATATGTCAAAAATTATGCTATACGAGATTAACGACCTTGTTTAATGGTTTTTAGGGGTCTTTGTATCTTCCTCTGACCCTCGTCACAAGTAAACGTGTTATGAAGCAATTAAGTTACATTTTCATAAACGAAATTGCTTTTCTGTAACCGTTATTTTTGCAAAGGTAAGTGGTTGGGGGTATAATACGGCTTTGACTTTAAAGTTCTCGATTCTGTAAAATTATAAATTTATGTAATACAACCCTTATCAAAAATTGAATTAAGATATCTTTAAAATGAAAGATAATTATTTTCAATAAACACAGCTGAGTGGATATGATGAAATTTGAAAAAAATCTTTACTGAGGTTTTTTTTTCAGTTATGTAGTATATAGTTTGTAATATAGGTAATCTCTAGAATGATTGATATTATCATGATTATGACCAAAAACCAAATTCTTAGGTTTTACATATTAGTATTATCAGAAATGAGATATTTTTCCGCGGTAAAAAGTATTCTATATGTTGACCTGGATACCAAATTTCATCAAAATCCCTCTAGTGGTTTTTCTGTGATGCGGTAACAGATAGACAGACAAAAATTCTAAAAACTATAAATTCGGCCTCTGTATCGATAATAATGTCTATTTCAATAAGATTTTCCAAAAAATATTTAATGTACAGATTCAGCTTAGTTACAATTTTATAATATGTATAGATAGAGTAGTTACTTTTTTTTAAATGTTTGAGCAGGTAATATACAAAAAAAATGGTCTGCTCCTTCATAAACTATTATGAAAAATAGACCGTGAACCCTGAAATGAAATGATGAAATCCTAAAAATAAATTAAGCTTATGCGACGGCACAAGGTTTAAAATAAGGGTAAGAAGAAGAGATTCATAGCTTTTGTAGACCAAGTCGTGGACAACAGCTGCGTTATAATGCTATAACTTAAAAAAATAAATTATTTAAATATTTTAATCACTGAAAAAAATATTTATAACTAGTTAGGTATCTAATTAATTAAGTAGATGAGATTAAACAAAACCACAGTAGTGTAATGAAAGGGCCAAACTAAGAAAACCTAAGGTTATTTCAAAAGTCGTAGTTACCAAAATTTAGGTATAAAATTAGCCTTTAAAAACAAGCTTATCTTAGACCCTTATAATCCTTACTTTAACTTTGATCCGCCTGAAATGGAGCAGACCTATGGAGATTGACATTTACAGAGTTATCTCGACCAAAAGGATGCTTGGAACCATTAAATATGACTCATCC